GAGACAGCTTTCCATTAATGGAGAAGTGGAAATTCAAAAAACCACGTAAGCACCATCGAAGGACGGTAAGCTTGCGTAAGGCACGGTTCTCAGTGTAAAAGAATCTAATAAACTCCTTCGCTTTATGAATTTTTTATCGGAAAATAACTAATTTGTTGCCGTATTTTCAACACATAAATTGTAATTCTTAGGCCATTTGAGTTCCGTTAAGGCGTCACTCTTCTAACGTGAGGGCGCATCTTTATTTACACATGAATTTGGAAAAACATAAAGTTTAACGTAGAATTTGTCACCCTCCTGACATAAGGGCGTAACTGCAATCAGCTATGAACCCTGTCGTCCATACAACTCAATGCTTTTCCGGGCTCATCTCCATGAGTGGTTACGCCCTCATGTCAGCCAAGCGACGAATTGGACTTACGAGCGTAATGAGAGAAGGGGTTGCACAATCTCAACACCACCCGATGACGCTTTTTCCCGCTCTTCAATTCTTTGAAGTCCCCGGAGAAAAATTGGTTCATTCAATGTAGAAACCTCCTCTTAGCATTTTTCAACCACTCAAAGAGAAAAATCAGTTTAAGCATTGTTCCTTTCAAAATGACGACGACGTTGATTTGAATGTAGACGGATACTTTCCGTCATTCTTTTTTCAGGTAATTATTTTCTCTTTTTTTAATCGGGCACCTCTCTTAAGTTTAGATTCATTATTCATTTTTGATGTCACCTATTAATCACAGATTTAAAAAAATCAATACTTTTCCTCTCACCAAGGAGCATTTGTTGACAAGTAAAAAAAGTAAAGGAAAAGGCTCTTTTAAAATCCACAAGGTTGTCACCTCTCCAAATATTTGCCTGACTGATATCCTTCACATTCTCTTTCCTTGTCAGTTCTGTATTTTATTTACGTTTTTATTTTTGTTTTGAATTTCAATTATATTTATCTATTTGCTATTAGGATTCTAAACCTTCACTTCACTTTCTCTCAATTTTCTTACCAATGTTTGTTTATTTTTTATCTGTTTGAAGTGGTTTTTTATTGTAATACTGGCTGATACATGTTAGGTTTAAATTTTTAAAGACCAGTAAGATCTGAAAATGAGTTGTAATTTACTTTTCTTTAGTTACAAAAAAAAAAAAAAAAAAAAAACCCTTCACATTTTGATCGTCAAATGGCGAAACCACGTACCTCCGTTTGCGACCTTGTAGATTCCGTGTCTTACTTGATTTTTTCTCGAATGTGAACGTAATTTTTTAAAAACTTCCTTGATTTTCCTCTCTAATAGTAGAATATTTCTTAGTAATTTAGGGAGGGGAAAAATCCCGTTCACAATTGAATGCACATAACTTCGTTATTAAAAATTCATTACATTTTATTAATTCATACTTTTCAATGCAAATTATCTGCAATATCTAAAAATAAAGTTTATCAGATGAATAACTTTGTTGCTGTTGTTTTCCTTCACGATGCCGCAGCATCCCCACTGCAAATAGGAGGAATTTTTCATATCCTTTGAAAACCCCCTTAATATTACCGGCAAGTTTCCGATTGGTGGGTTTACCGCAACAAACCTCAATTTCTCGCCCCAATGAGCTCGTGCCTCACGAAGCCTCCTTCAACCCCTTGATGTAAAAAATGAATAAATTCGCTCCTAGAAATAAACTTCCTCTTTGTTAAAAGCCGACGTTTCCTCGACCTGTTTCAGCCATGAGATAGTAATTTTTCGAGACTGCTCAACCGCTGAGTCCATCCGCTTCTCTATTATGAAAATGGATAGTTTTGGGGCAAAAATCGAGTGAAATTTATTCTTAGAAAAGAGAAGAAGGATAATGGAACACAATTAAATAAAACAAATATAAAGAGTTGAGAAAGCAAGACGTAACTTTTGAAGACGACGGCAGAGCAGCTGAATATTCCTAAAATTAAATATGCAAAAAAAGATCCATGCTCTCTTGGAGTCAAACAAACTTTATGACTAGGATAGTAGTAGCAAGTAGCAGTTATTATGGCAGCGAATTCATTTGCCTCGCCTCAGCTTCTGAGATTTAAGAAAGGAAGAAAAGGGAGACAACAGATTGAGAATTCAATTACGGTGGGGAGTAAGATGAAGACAGTGTTCTCGGATTTTTTTTCTTTTTTTTTTCTGCAAGTCCAATCTTTTCGACGTGGCACGGCTCAGTGTCCATGGGATACGAGAAATACAGTACGTATCCACCCTAATTGAACCGTTTAAATATAGCATGCAGGGCCATCCATATAAAACTTTTCCATGTACAGATGCGGCGCTCAAGAAACATATCAACTGCTTATCTGATGAAATAGTTGGTTAACTCAAAATTGCATCTACGCTGAAACAAGCGCGGGATTCCTTCCAAGTGGTTTCATCTCAATATAAGTCGACAACAGACATGCAGAAAAAAAATTAAGGTCTCTGGTTGCCAAGCGGTGCAAAATGAACGTTAAATAAGTGTATCGGGCGTATTGCGATTTTAAGAAAGAACTCGCATTAAAATTCCGCGGGGAAATGTATTTTATAACTTAGTTATATGTGACATGACCAAGAAGCGGACCAGCAGGTTGTCAATACTGGCTCTTCTCCATTCAAACCTGTGTTGAAAAATCGACTTTTATCGGAGCACCTGCCTCCTCCGAGAGTCGATACATTTCCATAGTTTTAAATGGAGAGAATACAACGTTGCCAAATCGCTGGATTGTCCCCGGGGAAAAGGAGATTAGTACACAAAAATTAAAAACTGAATTTTTTATGTAGACATTCTAAAGAGTGAACATTTTGATGCAACGAACGCTCAAAAAAGTATTACGAAGTTGAAGTTATGACAGATCGAGGTTTCTAGTTCAAAAACGTAGTTTTGAGGGATGGCGTTTAGAATTCTGTTGCAATTTGATGCATTTATGCCAAAGGAACTAAGTTGCATGCAAGCCCTATGCACTAACAAGTTCCTTTCAACATAGATAAATTTTACTAGTATTTTACATTCTCTCTTGGCAGAACTGAGTAGCTTCCGACTCATTTTAGACTTTAAAGAAAGCTTCTCATCAAACTCTCAAAATCTAATTTTTCGGCTCAACCGGACGAAAATTAAACCGTTGGAAATTTTGCTTTCGTGGACCAAGCTTCATTTTCCTGTGAAAATTGGGTGAGTGCTCCTACGGGTCAAAGAAAACGACTTTTGTAATCTCCCTAACGAAACTAAAACTGTTTTAAATTGTCCGATTCGATTTTTTTTCTTTTTACGGAAAGGAAGTGAGTCGATCTGGCAACCTCATTTGGAGTAATGTTTTATCGGTGGAGAGAGTTAACACGACGACTTTATATGTATGCATTCTGTCAGCGTGCGGCTAATATTGGTGGAGCTGTTTTATGAAAACTTAAACATGTCGAGTCATGCAGCTGTCCTCTTCTTTAATTCGTTTCATTATAACGTTAGTTTTCATTCGTATGATTTATTTTGTATGACATTTGACATCACGCAACGAGATGGTAACACTTAATTTCTCTCTAGAGTTCTTGAAATTGAAACATAAACGGTCTTCAACAAAAATGTATATACCTGTGAGCGCAAAAATTAATACGTCTCAAATCAGCTGCGTTCTTTTTAGATTTTTCATAACCTCACAATTGAGTAATCGATTAATGAATTAATATAAAACTTTGAACGTGTATAAATATTCAACAGAAACGGACCATTTGAAGTATGCGATTGATCGCGATATTTTTGCTTCGATCAAACGGGTGCGAACTATAGATCTATAGAGTAGTGAATTGATCGGAAAAAGCGATCATGCTTAGGCATGGAATCGCTTAAGAACGTGCAAAAGTGAGTTTTCTTAACAAATGTAAATAGTTTTTCCTAGTAGTAAATAGATGCAATGTCCTTACGCAATAAAGCGGCGCTGCGGCATATTGCAAGCTCACGCCTCGCGCCATAGCGCCTTCAATTTTGAGGACGCAACACGGACATCCATCAAGCACGAATAGTTGTATCTCTGCGCCGTCGACAACGCGCGTTCGTTTCGCGTCCGGTTGTATTTTCAACTGTTTGCGAAACCCAAAGGCTAGCTGCCTGTGAGGCGTTGCTCAGATTTGAGAGGAAATTTTAAAATCGAGGCCCGAATATGTCTCTTCGCCTTTTCACTCTTTTTTTTCAATTTGACGTCTGATTCTTTTCTAGTGGAGCGCATAAATTCGGAAAGTTTTACAGAATGAGTGGTGTGAAAGGCCGAAGTTGCTGAGGCACCTCTATAAAATACATAAATATTCTTCTGCTACTACCACTGATTTTTTCTTTAGGATGCATTTGTAGACCTATGTCTGAAGTTCGTATGTACTTGTCCCGTACAACCTGCAGAGCACGTGTTTTTAGCAATCCTTGGTTTACTTTGACGCGGCCTGAGCATCTAAGATTTAATGAATGTGCTAACGACGTAGAGAAAAGTCTTTGAAAACATTATCTTAAAATTACGCACTCCGTTATTATCATTTCATAATTTACAGCTTCAGTAGCGTGGCGTGCTTTGTGATATATCGATTGTTATGCCATTTAAACCTATGGAAAAGGATCGATAAACAGGGTGTTCGCAGCGAACACCTTAATAATCGATTCTTCACTATAGGTTTAAATGGCAGAACAATCGATACATCGCAATTCACGCCACGCCACTGCTACACATGAGCCGGCGGTGAATCACGTCCCTCGGGAGGGTTGCATTTAAATAAACAAGACCTGGGGTCGATAAATTCGAAGATAAACTTACCTAATCTTAAAATATCGAAAATTGTCAATCATATTTATGATTTACCGGTTTGTGTTAATCATACAGCTATGACATTTTTTCAGACGTTTAATGTCCCTAAAACAATTTTTTCTTTTCTTTTCTTTTACAATCATCTTTGCATTTACAAATATACCTTTATATTCCGTAATAGCTAAGAGTATCCTTCGGTAATTTAATGATTATAGCTATATTTTGTTTGTTTCAGTTTGTTCGAAACGCACCCAGATGTTCAACAAGTTTTTATGCCATTTAATGGAATTGAACTGGAAGACTTAAAACACAGTAAACAGCTACGAGCTCACGCTCTCAGGTAAGCAATTCTTATACTTGCGTAAAAAAAATTCATCGCAATCTTCAAAAAAAGAAGAAAAAAATCTTCGCTCTGTTTCTGTTCTGTGAAAGAATCCTTTCAGAGACACTAAGCAAAGGCCTCTGACCACATGGATAGGTGCCGACAATATCGGATAGATTGATTCTTTTCTTATCCTGCCTACCATCCTACCAACCCAATATCTCAAATGTGACGTTATAGAAGTCTCCATTCAGGATCGGCCAATGAGCCAGGCTTTACTTAAACTGGTCAGCAAAAGTAAGGAGCAAGAAAACTTCTCAAAAGATGCTCTAAAATCAACTTATGCAGAGCAGTAATCCGATTCACTGCGTTTGTGTTCGTCATACTTTTCAGAGTCACTGAGTAGTTCATGCCGATTATTATTCAAAGCGATTCGCCGGAGGGCACACCCACTGATGCCAGCTTCGAATGCTATTGCGATACATGCGCGAATTCATGCTCAAACAATTTATGATAGTCTCTACAAATGCATACAATTCGTTCAGTACCTTCATCGAAACTAGAGTCTCTTCACACTGAGAGTCAAGACAATATGAATCCATTGCTGATTGGTTCCCGTATTTTAGACCTCCATAGTGTCACAAACGGGAATAAAGATTACATTTTCCCCAATTGCAATGATTATAATGTAGAATGGACCGGGAAATAACGGGTTCGATAAGCAGGAACAAACGGAATGAGCAGAGACAAGGAATGAGTGAAGGAACGAAAAAAGGAATTTGAGAATGAGCCGATCAAAGATTACGAAAAACTGCCAATTTGTGTAATCTTTATTCCCGTTTGTAACTCCATGAGGGGGGTTGTCTTGACTTTCAGTATTAAGGGACTCTAATCGAAACACACTAAATATACCTGCTAAAACTTGAAATCAGGAGCTTTAAATGCTCAAGCTGAAGGCCTGTAATATTTCAAGCGTGATTTCTTTGCAAGGTTTTTCTCTGAGGAAAATGTGAATCAATTATTATGGAAAAACAAAGTGCGGTTATTTTTCTGTATGTTTTAAATTCCCAATTTCATAATATTTTTTAGGACGCCTATCAAAAGTATCCTATCAATACTCTTAGGTCGTGTTCTCAACTCGTGTATCCTCTCCTCACTTCAGAATATCCTCTCGTTAATTTTTTTTTTTTAAAAAATGATATTACAAAAATAATGATAAAAAATGAGCTTTAAATAAACGCACTTTTCGTGCGTTGATTTTAAGAGTTAAATGGTTCTTTTGGCTCTGATCAATGATTACGTCCTCCGTGATACATAGAAGTGTATCCATGCCTGAGGAATCATCTAGATAGTTATTAATAAAACATTTCAGATTGAGGATACAGATTTAAAAAAATTAATGGGCGTCATATAAGGCATATCGATGGTGCAACTACCAGACCACGTATCTCGTTTGTGATGTTGGATGATCGTCGCTCCTATATTTTTTTTTCTTCAAAGAAGAATGCATAAATATCGTTCTTTGAAGTTTTCCTAGAGTTCTCTGCGAATTTAGAAAAAAATCACTGAGGTTTTCAAGAATTTACGATGATTAGTTTTCCATTAAAAAATAAAGCATGGAAGTCTGCAACGTCGCAAACCGAGATACGTGATCTGGTAGTACTAAAAAGGGGGCAAACTTTGATGGGAACGGAATACTTGAAGAGGTCTTGAAAAATGACTTTAAATCGATCAAAAGTTACCAAAATCGCCCTAAGTATGTGTACCCTTTAATGTAGGGGGAGGAGGTTTTAATGCCCTCCTTGTCCGTGCAAAATGACGCTCCTAAAATGGTTACGTCATAAAAAGTGTATAAAACGAGAAGATGATCTGGCAAGCTGTGAACTTGATTCAGATCTGTACAGCACTCCCTTTTGATACAGTAAGGGCGTGGGTGGCATTGCCTCTGGTCTCGCTGGAGTATGAATGAGAAACCGATATTCGAGAAGAGGAAATTGAATATGAGGGAGAGAAATGCATGAGATTGAATTGATTTATACCAAGCCCTCAAACCTTACAGATAATTTGATTTGGTGGTCAAACAACTCGGCTCATCCCCTGGAATTTCCAGCTCTCGAAAACGTGAGCGGAAATGTGTATCGAATAGTTTCAAGGAGAAGAGCACTCTCTCTGGTTTTGTAATTTTATACTTCCAGAAATTAGTGCTCCGAAGCTTATATTTCTTCCTTAAAGATTCAGCTCCTCGCCCGCTCGAGCCGTATCTCTTCAGGGATTCTCTCCATCACGTCGGAAAAATTTCCTTTTCCCTGAAGACATTACTCATCGGAACAATCGATTCGGTTCGTAATAATAATACTCTCCGCGTAGTGCTCTTCCGCTGTAGTCCGAGTAGAATTTCAGGGATGATAAATTATTAATATCCAAACAAACTAGAGAATCGAAGAATAAGTTCCAAATCAAATAAAGGATAATGGAACGCTTACATTGATATTGCTGTCAGACTTCGACTCCCTCATCACGAGCACTTCACAATTTGAGGGAGCAATCAACTTTATGCAAGTGCATATGGACGTCGTATTCAGGCGGAAATAATTATCTTATTACAATTTAATATCAACCGTGAAAAGGAGAATCATATTAATGAAATTGATCGATATTGGCAAGATGGATGATTAGGGACAAGAACTTATAGATTCACATCTTAGAGATTTATTGTGGTGTTTTTTCTTTTCCTTTTTTTTCTCTTTTTAAAGGAATCCTCTTTGATTTGCGTGCACATTAAATAAAGCACTGTAAAGTATGACAACTTTGACCAAAAGTATTGTAAATACTACCATGAGTCCACTAGATTTTTGATACGGTGATGTACTGTATGGTAAGGATGACCACAATGACCAGACATCTGGACTCATTTACTATACTTTTGGTGCATTCCATCGAAGTTATACTTCCCACCACGGAGTCTGTTGGTGATTACCATAAACTCGTATCACTATACCTCAAACGATACTTCTTTTCAGTGAGGAAAGAACACATTGTAATGTTTCAATTTAGACTGAAGTTTTGCACTAAATTGTTCCATCAAAACGATACTCCGACGGTAGTCGTCCACTCCAAGTTCACACTAAAAAAAAAATTACGGGCCATTTAAACATACCGCCCGTTCCGGCTCAGAGACCGGAAATTCCGGGTGCTACACCCGGAATTTTTGACGACTGAGCTCGGTTCGCAGACGGTATGTCTATACAGTCCGTAGCGCACGGCTGTGGCTTCTACGGCCAGAGTTTTCTTTTCAGTGCATGGAGCTACAATTCCTGGCTCATCGATAAAAACACCTATCTATGTAGGGACACAAATGGCAAATATCTCTGGAATGAGCCCGAAATTATAGTTCCTTATTGAAAAAAAATCCGTGAAAATAACTGCATCACGTACCCTTCCGGTGGTTAACAATGAACACTTACCGCGCAATGGAGGCCGTGCAGATGATCAATGACCTCTTTTTTCGTGCCCCTGTGTGCCCTTTCTTTTTTTTTTGCCTTTAGTACCTCTGTGAGACTCAATTCAGCAATATGTGCACATTTCGCGCATCATTTTTCATTGAGAACTGATATGGTGGATTGTTCACAAAAGCGCACACAAAGGAGCAGTTTTCTTTCACGGTTCCTTCTTAGAACCTTCCCACGGCCGAATTCGTAATGATGATTGATCTTTTTCCTGTTGAGAACTCCTCGTCAAGAGGAAACGATGAGAATTCAGCCAAGTCTTAAAAATTCGGCGCTCTTCTGACGCAAGGGCGTATCTTCATTTTCGAGTAACATACCTGTTTTCCGTGTAAATCCATACTTTCTATGTCTCAAGAGGAAATAACGATGCGCCCCTACATGCATTAGAAGAAAGACGAATTGAGATATTTATCAGCTTTAGGGAGCACACCTATATTGTAGATCACGTGTTTTGATTGCGATTTTTCGAAATCTTCTCTCTTGCTTTTATTTTATTTTTTGTTTTGTTTTTGTGGATGAGTGTGATTCTTCGAAATTGAGATACATTCTTCTGTAGAGGAAGAATAAGCAAAGTTAACATTTCCAAGAATTTATGATTGTTGTTTTCTTCAGAAAAATAAAAATTTAACAAGCGTCAAGGAGCTTGTCAATGCTAAAAGTCATGAAACATATAACTTGATTGCGACCTTTCAAAATCTTCGCTGTTGTTTTAGTTTATTTATTTATTTTGTTTTTCATAGTGTCAATGCGGGCGTTCTTGTTCGAAATTTTGCTTTCCCATATTCCTTTGCAGTAGCTTCTTTCATGTGCCGTCATACGATCTCTTTTAGTGGGGGAGGGGAGGAGGAGGAGGAGGAGGAGAGAAAACCGGTTATAAAATACGGAAGACGATTTTAAAACTCACACTTCACAAGCTACAGGTCAATTTAATTATAAAAGGGCACTAACGCAATCAAAAAGTAAAAATAAAGCTGATTTCTCAAGGTTGAGCTTTTATCGATTATTAAGTGTTTCCTAAATACAAATGGACGTATTTCTGCCAAACGGAACTATGCGCATTATGACGTGAGCCCTGTTATGCATATATTCTTATGAGTCTCAGAGCTCACGCCTTAATGAACATAATTCGGTTTGGCAGAAATACGTCCCAATTAAACTCGATGCTGAGCCCACTGGATAAGTTAACGCGGATGAAATATCAGCGATAAAGTGCAAAATTAATTGCTGGACATTCCAGAAAAAAGCCAATGAATTCTTCTTGGAGGAGACACCAGAAGACGCGGAAAACAAAGTGGAAAAGTTTCTTTTCGACAGCTTTTCACGCCTCTCTGCTAGACTCAGTAACCAATCTTCTAATTATTAATAAACTGGTTGATTAGATTCCTAGGAAAAGGCGGGAAGCAAAAATTAGCGATTAAGAACAATTCTCGGACTCATTGTTCTGTGGCGATGAAAAAGGAGCGGTAAAAGTTATCGAGGGGGAAATAAAAAAAAGACGCAGTGTAGGGAACA